AGTAGCTGTGAAATGGCAACTGTGATATCCAGTTATGAGGATACAATGCAGTATGCATCTGTACTTGCAGATTAAAGATGGACTTAAATGAAACTTTTTACTATATGACACTAGGATGCTGGACTCTCTGTCATTGTCTATGTCCATAATAATGGACATATGACTGTGCATGAAAAACTATACTTTAGTAATGATCTAGGGAAACTCGGGTGGGGGGGTTGGAGACTGGAGAGAAAGTAGGGAAATCCCTGGGCCTATAGAACTGTATCATAAAATGATGATGATGATGATAATAATAATAAAAGATTTTTTTAAAAAGTACATATGGCTTCCGCCTGCCCAGACATGGCTATGTGGCCACAAGGATGATCTGTATCTATATTTTCCTTTCTGTGTGTCATTCTGTTTTCAAATATGACCATGAATGAATAAATCCTAAAAAAAAAAAAAAGCCCTTCCCATCAAGCTTCCTGATATATACACAAAGAGACAGCAGAAGATGGCTCAAGTAAGTATTTGGACCCTGCCACTTTCATGGAAGAGCAGAATGGAGTTCTTGGTTTCTGGCTTCAGCACAGCTCAAACCCAGCTGTTGGCAGCCACTAGTATGGTGAACCAGTGGATACAAGACATGCCTCTTTCTCTGTTCCTTTAAATAAATAAATCTTACTAGATTATCTACCTGTGATGTTCTATGTTGGGAATTTATTTATTTATTTATTTATATTTGGCAATATTATTTATTTGGGAATTGCCAATAGGGACAACTTGTTCATGAAGTGTGTTTGCTCAACAGGGACTCATTAAATATCTATTCTTCAGTCACTTAACAGATATAATTAAGATTTAGCCATGTTGTCCACTTTCAAAAAACTTTAACGTATAGGGAAACCAAGACAAAGATTATACCATCCCTGGAACTACATATAAAGTTCTTTGAACAGAAAATGAAGGGGAGGCCCCAAGAAAAACAAAGGCAAAGTCCTATTAGATGGCAGACGAACAGTAACAAGGTAGACAAATATCAAATGCTCTCATTTCCCAAGCTCTATGAATTAATGTAGTTCATTCATGGATTAACTTGATTAAAGTGAATGTGTTTTATTTGTTTATTTCCCAATCTAAACAGACCTGGCCAACATAGGTAGATAAGAGTTCAAAGGCAGAAAAGGGCAATTAGTTCAGTTCAGTTCAGGGGACTAAAATGGGCACAGGCTCAGAAAAGAGCAGCAATTCAGATGACTGTGTGAAGTGTGGATACAAGAAAAGTCTGGTAACATAGTTTGGTCAGATTATGGAAAGTCTTAAATGTCTGTTTATGGAGTGAACAATTTATTAGTTTTCACTGCTTCCATGACTCTCATGTCTTTGGCAGCTTAAGGCAGTATTTCTCTCTTCTGATTTAGAAGACGTGCATTTTGAAGTAGGGCTGTCTGCAAATATTCCAGTGCAACAGGGACTCAAAAACAACACTACCTTTCAGAAAATTTGCATGGTTAGCACACTTAAGAAACCTTCACATCTACCTGCATTCATCAGGGCACGTGTCGAATGTCTTTCATGGATAATGACAATGCAGCCTGGCTTCTCAGGGCCTAGGGAATCTTCAGCCAAATGCTTGCCTTTCTCCTTTCTTCTACCTCACAACACTGATAGGTAGAGGTCACTATATGGGTTGAACCTTGTTGAACCAGGAGTGAGGAAACCAACAAATATGCCTAACTAATAGCATTCTGGAAACTTATTAAAATCTGTCACATCATACAAAAATTCATTTTGTGTTTTACACAAAATATTGTGTCCTGCTGAAAGTAATGAAACACTTGTAATTTCTTCACTGTAGGAAAAGTTTCCTTAGGGAGATGGACAGCATACAAAAAATTTATGGAAAATAAACCTGGAACTCTGGTTAAAATGAAATGTTTCCTTTCCTGAAGGAATTATCAGAATCCTTGACATATTACTACATGTTGTATCTCCCCAAGAAGCCAGCAGAACATATACCACATGTCAAGCTTACTGACCAGACTGGAGGACACATATTTATTTTAATGGAAGGACAATTAAGCTTTCTGATCATTACTTACTTTTGTCTTCTATAAGGTTTTTGTACTTTTCTTTTCAAAGATTCATCTCTTTGCGAGGTAGAGCTAAAGACAGAGTGCGAATGATCTCCCACCCACTGGTTTACTCCTCAAATGGTCACAAAAGTTGGGGCTGGACAAACCTTAAGTCAGGAGTCAGAAACTCCATCTGGATCTTTCAAGTGGGGGTGACAGGGGCCTAAGCCTTCAAACCATCTTCCACTTCCTTCCCAGGCACATTATCAGGGAACTAAGCTGGAAGTGGAACAGCAAGGACTGGCAACCAATGCTGAGTTTCCCTCCTGTCCTTTCTATTTTCTCGTTTACCAATGCTAGTTACAGAATATCAAATCCAACTCAGGGAAGCAGTCTTCTTGGTGTCCTTTCCTATATCTCAGACATTTTTAGTGGGAGTTTCAATGCTGATGAATAGAGGAAGTAATGTCCGACGATTCACTCCCCAAGTGATCACAACAGCCAAAGCTGCACCAATCTGAAGCCAGAAGCCTGGAGCTTCATCCAGGTCTCCAACAGGGGTGCAGGGTCCCAAGGCCTTGGGCCGTCCTTGACCTCTTTCCCAGGCCACAGGCAAGGAGCTCAATGGCAAGTGGGGCCACCAGGAATAGAACTGGTGCCGATATGGGATCTTGAAACATTCAAGGTGAGGACTTTAGCCACTAGGCCACTGCACTGGACCCTAGGATTCTTATTTCAACACACATGCTAGTCAGCTGCTCATAGCAACACAACTGAGTAGGCGCAACAAAAACAGAAGTCACAATACCTTTTCAAAAACCATTTTCTGGACTCTTGGAATTTATCTGCTTATGAATGACAACATACTATGCTTAATCAGTGAATTTAAATAAAAATTTAGGGAGCCAACACTGTGGTGCAGCTTGAAATGCCAGCAACCATGTGAGTACCCCACGAGAGACAATTCAAATCCCAGATACTCCACTCATTTTGGACTCCAGGGCCACAATGTGCCTGAGAAAGCAGAGACGGCACCCACCTGCTTGGGCCTTGTCTACATGGAGACTAAAAGAATCTCCCAGTTCCTGACTTCAGTCTGGCAGGCTAAGGCAATCATTGGGGAAGTTCTTTCTCTCCCTCTCTGTAATTGTCTTATAAATAAATCTTAAAAAAAAATCATTAGTACCTCAACATATGAAATTTTCATACTATAGTCTGCTCTGAGGAAAACTTAAATGAACTGTTTAACAAATTTTATTGAAAGAATTTATGTCAATTTCTGTTTCTACAATGGGACTGAGGGACACTCTGTAAATTGGATGGTGCTGCAGATGTTAAGAACAAGGAGAAATTAGAAATTCATTGATTCAGACTTAAAACAATAGGGCACTTATGTGAACAATGTCTTCCTTCTGCCAAACAAAACGAAGCAAAACTTGCCACAAATGTCCCCATTTTCTTTTCTGGTACATCCACTGTTACACAAGCAAAGCTGCATTCCTGACAACTCCATGAAAGAATACACACAAATTTATTCTTACTTGGCCCTTCCTCCTGTAGGAGACTTTGGTTTCTTCATGTGTAAGTCTTGGTTTCCTTTCCTGACGAGGAATATGATATAAAGGCAATCTAAAGGCCACAGTTACCTTGTAGGTGATGTTTATATGAACCAACTGGTCTACTGCAGACAGCCTTTTATGCTTTTTGCTTGTGTGACAGTACCTTCTTTAGTCTCAAGTGTCCTGATTTGCTAAAGAGTCACCCTATTTACTATATGTCATTTCCTTTACCCTCTCCTTTCCCAGTTTAAAATAAGTTGACTTAAAAAAAATTATTTTTATTTGAGAGGTAGATTTACAGAGAGGAGAGACATATCTTTCATCCACTGATTTAGTTTCCAAATGGCTACAACAGAGCTGGGCCAGTCTGAAGCGAGCAGACAAGAGGTTTTTCCATGTACCCCACCTGAGTGCAGGAACTCAAGGACTTGGGCCATCCTCTGCTGCTTTCCCCGGCACATTAGCAGGGAGCTGGATTACAAGTGGAGCAGCTGGGAGAGGGACTGGTGCACAAATGATATGCCAGCACCATACGTGGAGAATTAGCCTGATACTCCAGTACACCAGCCCCAGCCAAAACACGCATGAGAAGGCATCGATGAAGTCATCTAGTTCTGTATCACATTGTCAACACTTTGACAAAATTCTTGGCAGGATTCCACCTCTATCCTACACTTCCGGCAGTCAATATATTGCTTTTGGGTGACATTTTCTGGTTTTAGGTATCCCTTCACTTTTTATTTTAAAGATTTATTTTTATTGCCAAGCCAGATATACAGGGAGGAGGAGAGACAGAGAGGAATATCTTCCCTCCGATGATTCACTCCCCAAGTGACCATAAGCTACGCCAATCCAAACCCAGGATCCAGGAATTTCCTCCGGGTCTCCCACGCGGGTGCACAGTCCCAAGGCTTTGGGCTGTCCTTGACTGCTTTCCCAGGCCACAAGCAGGGAGCTGGATGGGAAGCCAGGCCTCTGGAACATGAACCAGCACCCATATGGGATTCTGGTGCGTTCAGGGCAAGGGACTTCAGCTGCTAGGCCACCGTGCTGGGCCCCACTTTTTTTCCCCCTCATTGTTACCACTTTTATTCATTAATTTTGTCAGATGGTTTAGTGGGCTGTGGGGGTAGATGGTCACGAACCCTTCCCCCAGCCCCTGCCCAGGTCAGGATGTGCTGGGGGCTCCTGGGAGAGAGGGGTCAGGGTGCCCAGTTGTGTGAGGGTCCCCAGGTTGGAGGGGGATAGGAGGATGGGCATCCCTTTGAGGCCAGGGGAGAGATGTCATGATCACACGTTAGGGACACACATCAGCAGCCAATTACAAAGTTAGCAACTTGAGGTGTGGATCACTGGCTTCAGAGAAATACAAAACTAGGGACTGGTCGGGCGCCATCCAGCAAGGGGAAGGGCACAGGCAGGTCTAGGTCCTGGCTCTCTCTCAGCTGTAGCTCCGGGTCTGGCCCCCACAGGGCAGGGACCACCATCCTTCAACTAAGCTTCCTTTACCTCAGTCTGACATTCAGAATCAGCTAGGGAAGGAAGACCGGGGGAAACGGGATAACTTTGGAATGCTTCTTGGAAAGGTGTGAACATAGCTGTCTTCTGATCAGCCTTGTGAATACTAAACAAAAGAGGTAAGATCCCTTCTAACTCCTCTCTACTCTTCATCCTTCAGGTCACACCTGAACCCATCGACAATTTCCTCTGTTGCCGCGTTTATCTGTTACTTACTTTCGCACAGACTAAAATGCAAACAAGTTTGTGTAAAACAGACCGCGGGCACACGGAGGAAGGGTTTTGGAGAGCCTTGTTGGGAGCTAACGGGTGTTAGGCTGCAATCCGGGCTGCCACGACCGTTCCCAGGGCCACCAGTCGCTGCTGCAGCACGCTCCTCAGCAGATCCCGCTTCAGCCCGGGGGCCGGGTAGGGGGCGGCTCGGGCCGCTCGGCGGCTCTCCCGGGCGTTCGGTCGCACGGCCGGCCGAAGTCTCGGACGAGCCTCCTCAGGCCTGCCAACGAGGAAGCCGTCCCCAGACACCATAGCGAAGGCGGAGGCCCTCGGGCCGAGGTGGCTGCGGTAGTCCCGGTGGGCCACCACGTGCCCCTGGTCGCCGGCGCACCAGCACACAGAGTTCAGGGCCATCTTCCAACACTGCTCGTGGTGTCGCAGTTCCGTCCCCGGGTCAGGGCGGGCGTGCCGCGACCCCACAGATCAGTCCAGCCCGTCAGGGACGCAGACACGAAACACCACCGCCGCCATGACTAAAGGCCGGCTCCTGGCGCGCATGCACATCCGCCGCACGCACGCACGTCGTTGACGCAGGGCTAACGTCACGGAGGGCTTCCGCGATTGCGCAGTGCGGGCGTCGGTCGCCACTTTTCGGGCCTGGGCTGGGAGGCGGCGACGCCGACATGGGGGCGGCGGCGGCCGAAGCGGATCGCACTCTGTTTGTGGGCAACCTTGAGACCAAAGTGACGGAGGAGCTGCTGTTCGAGCTGTTCCACCAGGTAAGCGGCCGGACCTGGGTGACCTAAGGCCCGCGGGAGCAGGAGCAGAGTCGGGGTCCTAAGGGATCCTCGCATCTGCTCGGGAAGTTGTATTTTCCGTTTTCTTTGTATCTCTTTTTCCCTGCGGGGTTGCTTGTAATTACTGCAGCATTGAAAGCAGACCCGGATACACTGTGGCGTTAGTGCATAAAAATGCATTAAAACAGTTCCCGAGCATCCCGTTCCTACCTGGCCTGCTCCCTCCCCACCAACCTTCCCAACCGGCACCGTTTGGATTCTGCTATTGGTAAAACGTACGTTTCCGTGGTCAGAAAGTGATGGTTTCTTGGTCAGCTTTTCTAAAAGTCGGATTAGTGCTGGGGAGACCAAATTAACCCACTGCTTTTCTAGTCCCTCAGATAAGTGGATCGAATTCTCAGCCATGTTTAGGGTTTTTACACTAATCCAAATGGACATCCGCATGAGTGTATTTTCTAAAGTTCTTAATGACATTTCAAATGTGGCTTTCTGACTTTGCAAGATCTTTCGTTTGTAAAGATTTGAGCGTTTTCCTGAAATTGCCTTGTTTAAATTTAAATTCCTTTTATGTTTGTAGGCTGGGCCAGTAATAAAGGTGAAAATCCCAACAGATAAGGATGGCAAACCCAAACAGTTTGCATTTGTAAATTTCAAACATGAGGTGTCTGTTCCTTATGCGATGAATCTACTTAATGGAATCAAGCTTTTTGGAAGGCCTATCAAAATCCAGTTTAGATCAGGTAACTATTCGATGATATTCGGTTTACAATTTCATTTTGGATTAGTGAAAAAGCACAGGCTTGAGTTGTTAAAGAGACTTGAGTTTGGGAAAGAGTAAGGCTTATTTTCTGAAAATACTTTTTCCTGTCTGCTTTGAAATGTACTTTTCCAGATGTTGGTTCTGGATCATGGGGGCGTGAAACTTGCCTTGTATGCAGCATAAAAGGCACGATAGGGATCAGAATATTATGGTCGGTTTGGTTGTTTCTGCAATGGCCAGTGCCTTGTGTGTGCGTATATATTATACACTTAGCCTTTGCAGTGTGATGAGGCTGTAAAGCAGTTCATAACCATTTGGGATATTACTTATTCACAGTTTACTGTTGTGAAGTGATTTGGGGTGGGGATGACAAAAAGGTCAAATTAAACGTCCTCCCAAGAAGAGTTTGTCAAATCATTTCATTTTAGGAAGTAGTCATGCTTCACAAGATGTCAGTGTGTCTTATCCCCCGCATCCTGTTGGAAATTCAAGTCCGACCTCCACATCTCCTGGAAGGTAATCTTCATCACTGGTTATTTAAATCTTCTCTCAGGAATTCCCTAACGTTACAACTTCAGATGCCTGAGTGAATAGATTCCTCTGTAGGTGCCCACCCTTTTCTGGTACTTGTCTTGTTGTTATTATTACACAGGCATCATTCTAAGCAGACTATACGTAAATGGATACATAGTCCTTTTAAAATGGATACATAGTCCTTTTAAAATAGATACATATGTGTGTTCTCTTGGGATAATTACATATATTATTACAATTATGTTCACTTGTAGAAACATATCCCCCACATACACATGGATACTATCAAAACAAAATTTCTTAAAACTTCCTTTTACCCTTACTACTTGTAGCACACTGTTTTCTGTTTTATTTCATCTTATTTCAAGTTAATATTAAGACCAGCAATATTACTTGCAGATTAAAAATACTGATTAGTAAGCAATGGACTGCACTGAGTTCAAAGAATTGAATTCCAGCTATGCCTGTAGCAGTTGTGTGATCTTCAGCATGTCTTACTTCTCTGGTTCTTTGCTTTGTAAGGCAAAGAAGCTGAATTTCGTTTCAAACTCCTGAAGCTTACAGGGGAGAACAGTTACAGAGTTTCTTTACTTAAATGATTTTATTTGCTTTAGGAAAATTTATTTTTATCAGAGGTAGTGTTTTCATTTCTTAGCTGTGTTGAATTAGTCATAATAGGCTTTGCTTATATGATCTTATTTGTTCCTCCCAGCGGTCCTAAGAGGTAGGCATTACTTTACCTTGATTGTAAAGAAAATGGGGACTGGAGGATGACGTACCCAAAGTTGAACTGCTTGTAAGCAGTGGACTGGGATTTAACCTGTAGAGTGTGATTGAGACCAGCTGTTACCTATCCTGTCTGCCTACTGGCGCTTAAAGGCTAGATGAAGATGTGCATATATTTTTACTAGAGTATATTCTCTGGAGAAAAGTAAAAAGTAATTCAAGAAAGTTTGGACAGAGAGAGATGTATTATGATATTGGGGACTTCAAAGAAGCCAGTGTACCAGTGGATGGTGGTGAGATTTCATCATGCTTGGAGTTCGGCAGTAATTCAGAACTGTTGAACTATTGAAATCTTTTGAGCAGGACCCTCAGAGCATGCCCCACAGCGGGGACTCTGGGGTGGTAGTGGATGACTGCTCCGTCTCGGGGTGCAGAGGTGTTTGCCCGCTTCCCCGAGATACAGGAAGGGAAAAAAAGAAAATGTGGAAATGGTGATCTCACCCACCTTCCTGTAGCCCTTGACCCTTATCACCCTAATCGACTATATAAAAATCATCAAATAAAAATAATTAATAATTTAAAAAATGAGTTCAGAATGGATTCTTAATCTATGGCCCAATACTCTCAAATTAATAGCAAAAATACATCAGGGGGGTAAAAAAAGAAGAAGCCAGTGTACCTAGACTGGGGTGAAGGAACATGGAAAGCAGTTGGTACGCAAGTATTGTGCCTTGAGGTTGTACACAGTTTGAGAGTAGACTGTAGGAAAACCAGTTAGGAAGCTGATAGTAGTAACGTATTGATGCCTGTGATAATGTAGCAAGGAAGTTGGAGGTGAGGTTGGTGGTTTTGATGCAATGGTGCTAAGAGCTAGAGAAGTGGATGGATGTTAGAAGGAGAGATACAGGAAAGTGGAGTTGTAAATCGGCAACCGTGAGGGAAAAAAGGCAAAAATGTTGCCCTCCTTATATCCTTTCTTACCACCGATATTGAGTGGTATTTAATAATTTTTCAGCACAGTTGGAATTTAAGGCACTTCTAACCAATGCTAATAGACTTTACAGATGTATGCTAGGTGGAGGGAGGAAAAGGCTCTCCCTTCCTTTAGAATTTCAAGGCAGAAAATGAACAAGTAAATAGTCTTAAACAGTAGAGTATCATTTTTATCCTTTTTATAATATAATTATTTTTCTGTCCACATGCAAATACAAACCTAATTTAATGAAATAAAAAGTCCATGACAAATCAGTTGATTCCAGGAAAATATTTTAAAATAATTTAGAGCATTTAACTGAATTTTTCTATATAGAAGTTGCCTCTATAGGGAGTGGAATTAAGGTCCTTAAAATTAATATCAAAATAAATAAATCTTCCAAAAATTAATATTGAGTACGGTATAGAACTATAATAATGCCTTACATTCTTAAATCCTGGTCTTTTTCTCGATCTCATTAAATGCCCACCCAGTTGCTCAAGCCAGACATCTAGATCCTCTCCTTTATTATTTCTTCCATCCTTCATAGCCAGCGTAGCACATCCTTTTCATTTGATAGACTAGGCTTCTGTACTTGCTAGGGATGAAGTAGTCCGTGTTTTAGGCTTTCAGGCCATATCCTGTCTGTCTGCCACAATAATGGCACAGTAGTCACAGAGAATACAAAACTACAAGAACGTGGATATTTCCAATAAAACTCAGTGTACAAAAACTAGTTTGGTGTAGAAGCTATAGTTTGCTCCCTCCCCCAGCTGTTCCCTTACTTGCAATGTTTTGCCTACAAATAATCTTGTCATTCAGTTCTTACTTCAGATGCCTCCTTTCTGGAAAGGCTGGCTAGCCCAACCGAAAATGAAAGCCCATCATACAATATAGTATTAAACCTGGTGGGGGGGGAGGGGGAGGAACATCCTTTGGTATTCTAGCTCCCTCAGAGCAGAAGCCGAGACTGTCTTACTCATCCTCGCCTCTGAGAGATGTATTGCTGCTGCTGATTGGTGTTTAATATTTTTGGAATGAATGGTTAAATGTTGATTTTGTTCTTTTTAGCAGATATGAAAGGATTTTGGATAATGTGAATGCATCAACACAGATAATCCAAAGGTCTTTCTCTTCTCCAGAAAACTATCAGAGACAAGCAGTGGTAGGCTAATTTCTTTAAACTTGTTCTAAAAACTTGTACTTAGAATATTCAGGTTATGTCACTGAGCTTTTTATATTATAGATGCTTAGTTAGAAGTATAAATTAAGTGTGTAAATTTGTAACGACTTCTGAAATTTGTTAAAATTAGCATGATCTTTGTATATTGACCATTAAGTCTTCCCAGGACTGTTATAAACCTAATAACTGAAGATAGGTAGAAATGAAGTTAAATTTCATATTATTTTCTTTTTGGCCTTCATTGGGGTGTATGTATTTGTAAACACTGGAGAGTCAGTCTCTGCTGTTGTTGCTGCTTATGCTGAGTAACTTATCACCTTTTTTTTTTTTTTTTTTTAAGATTTGTTTTATTTTTACTGGAAAATCAGAGAGTAGGAGAGACAGAGAGGGAGATCTTCTGTCTGATGAATCATTCCCGAAGCGGCCACCATGGCCAGAGCTGTGCTGATCTCCCATGCAGGTGCAGGGTCCCAACACTTTGCTGCAGGCAGAGGATTGATGTGCTGTGCCCCACACTGCCCCTCAGCAGTGCCTTCTTCTCCTTTTTTTTTTTT